AAAACTTTCACTGGCCAAAACAGACAGTTTGCTTCCAAATCCCACAATATCCCCAACCCTGCCAAATTGTAATGAGCAACTTAATCACCAAGTAAGCCCCTCTGAGACCTGCTTGTTGTCATGAAGTTTTCCTGGCCAACATGGCCCCACCCAAAACACCTGTCTGTGCAGATTCTACTTCTTCACAAACATCCATCTAACTTGTCTTGTATTCATTTCACTTACTAATTTGATCAGTAGATGCCAAGCACTGAATTATGATCTCTCAGAAAGTATCTTCTCAGATCTTGGGCTGAACACAGTTTTAATAACACAAATGACCAACAGTCACTGTTTCTCTTTTCTATTTTGGAAGGCACCCTCTGAGCTTCTCCTAGAGATACATAGAAAGATCAAGGGCTAAGCAGGAAATGCAATCCACATTCAGGAAATGTCAAACAATAACTATGATGTGCCCTATGTAAATCATGCTGTGATTGTCCTGGAAATTCATTCTAAACACCAAGTTAAGAAAGAAGATGTGCAGCCATAACCATGTCAATAACAACAGTGGAGATTGCCAATGACCAGTAAGGTAGGGTGGTTTTGAATCTCCAAGCAGGTTTTCAAATAAATTTCCCTCATTCTTAGCTTTCTTTCTTTTGCATGTTCCAAATCACATGCTTAATGTGACAGGCAACTCCAGCACATTTTCAGGGCTGCTTAAGCATCAAGGAGAAAAGTGACTGAGGGACACTCAGGGGACTCTTAGTTAACTCACAAAATGTATATGCAGGAAAATGGTAGTGACATCCTCAGTGCCATAGCTGTGGGAGACATGAGATGACAGTGGGTAAGCCTGGTTAGCATAGGACAGTGAATAGTCTTTGTGTCTTTGCTGCTCAGTGACTCTGGTCAACCTCTAGCAGTTCTTGTCATACCCCTGTTTAATGGGGATGGTAATGTCCACTTAGTCCCACACGTTGTAAGAGCATATTGAGAATAAAATGGTCTTTGATTTAAATAGAAATCATTGCCCCAAAGATACAATTGTCATGTGGATTCTATTTCTGGTAGCTACCACAAAGACTGGCAATGACTGTTATGCTGGAGTGTATCCTGTTCACATACATATTTAAAGAGCATCTGTTCTAAGAAAATAATTATATTCATTCCTACAATTTACCCCATCCCCCTTCCTACTACTAAAACATCAATGTTTGGCAAATATAATTTGTACTGTTGAATATAATAATAAAGTAATATTATTATTAAATATAATAATAAAGCAACAGGATGGAGGTTGGAAGTGAACAAGAATGAATGTCCTCTGAATGTGCTCACCCTTGTCACTTCACTGAGCTACTAAAGACACCAACTCTTCTCCTAGGCTTCATGACTCAATGTTTACTGATGGGAGTCAACTTCCATTAGCTAACAGCAGATACCTGACACAATTATTTTGGCTTACACTTTGGGGAACCTTAATGCATGTTTGGCTGGCCTACTGTTTCTGAGCCTGATACAAAGCACAAACCATCATGTCTTGTCATGGCAGATACATGTGAAGAAGGCCCTCACATGAAGCAAAAAGCAAAAGAGAAGATGAGGATGAACTGTGGCTTCAATATCCCCTTTATGGGCATACCGTCCATGACGTGATTTCCTCCTAATAAGCCCTGCCACTTAAAGGCTCCACAACTCTTAAAAGGGCCATGGGCTAATGATATAGCTTTAAACAATTTGCTTTTCAGGATACTGACCCAAACCCAGACAAATATTAAGGCCCCATGCTAGGCATTGTGGATACAGATGCAAGAAACTAGGTACAGAATTCTCTACTCCCTGCAAAAGCTGATATCTATGGAAAACTTACCAAACACAAATGTAGACAGTAGAATCAGAGAAGTCACATCCACACCCTGGAGATGTGGTGTTTAACCTGATAATTGAAGAACTGAGGATATACAGGAGGGAGGAGAATTAGCCATGCCTCTCCCAGGCCTTTCATTCAGGAGTCTAAGACATAAGCACAGGGCAGCTCTCACAGAAAGTAGAAGATAAACAATTACATTAGGAGCTGGAAAGAAGTATGCTAAGGGCTCTCAAGAGAGAGAAAACAATGCAGCCCAAAGCAGGAAGTTTCAAGCAGGAAGTGTAAAGCTCTGCACAGTAATACACCTATGGTAGACAGCATATACAGAATAACAAACAGAACAGTCCAGTCCCCCATCTCCTGATCATCAAGCTAGGCTCAGTGTTTCTTCACATTTTACTACCATTCTTGAGACATAGATCCTGGGCCCATCAAATTCAACATTGGAAGTTACAGAAAAGGACAAGTGGAAATAGAAAAGGCATAGGAAAACAGTAATTTGCACATGAACGTGAATGCCTATCCACCAGTTTTTGTAGTTGTTGAGGCGGAAGGAAAATAGATTGGGAACTGGGTGGACCAAAATTGTTTTCAAGTTCCAGCTCAGATACTCAAGATCAAACATCTGGGAGGATACTGACAGGGGTGACACAGTTAGCCTTCATACTGTGGAAGGAGGCCCTCAGCATAGGTGCTCATAAGCCATTTCCATTAGGGAATTAACGAGCATCCAAATGCTTTGCTGGTTTATATAATCTGAATTTAGAATGACAGCCTTACATGTGAAAACATAGCATGGCATCAAGTAGTTTTGTTTTGGGTAACAAAACATCTGTGGCTTTCTCCAGGTGATAGAGTATAATTCAGGGCAAGATAAAGCATAGTGGTTGTACCATTTCCTTAGATACTAAAACCACAGCCAGCCTTCAGGAGCTTCTTTGGCTCTCTCTGTCTCCTTGTGACCATGCACCCAAAGAACACTGTGACATGATACAGACTATTTTCAACACCATCTTATGAGCCCAGAAGTCCAGAGGACCGGGCAATAAGTACATTAAATATATGGGACTATTCCTCAGTAAAACTGGGGTATCAGTTGTAAGATCCCTTTAAATAACATTTTCTATTTTTCCAATTTTTTAGGCTGTGATGTCATCCAGGAGTATTGGTTTAAATTCTGTCTTAGTAATTTTTGCACTTATCAAATGTTACTAAAACTTGGACTGGAGATGTAGCTCATGGATAGAATATTTGCCTGTACACAGCACACCTAGGTTTGGTCCCCAACATCATAACACACACACACACACACACACACACACACACTGCTTTAAACATTCCTCCATTTATTCCCCCAGGGCTTACGCTTTATTACTAAATTGACAGATGATATTTGACTCATTCTTGATGAACACCAGTCATCTCATCAGATCCTCCTATTGTGAAATCTAAATGTCATTGGCAGATAAAGTCTTTGTAAGTAGACTAGGGGGTCTTAGAGACTTCAGTCTCCATGCAAATTACTCAATAGGCTATGGAGTGCAATTATCCTTACCACAGTGCCAGAAACAGTACACTGGTGAAAAAAACAATGCTCATTTTAGGGTGTTTGCATTATTCCTGTAGTGGTGTTAACTGTTACTCTTTCTCCTAGTATTGTTTCTCCTGGAGCATTCCCACCAACGGTCCCAAGAGAAGTGTTCTAGACCTTCAGGGGAGCATCCCCTGGGGACACTAGTTCATTCCCCTAGAATGGTGGCATCCTGGTACCTCTTCCACCTGCCTGAGCAAAACTGACTTTCACAAAACTGACACTTGATGCAAAAAATCACAAATGAACTATAATGATGTCAAAATTCACATATAAGAGAGTTCCACCAATGCCCACATGTCAACCAGTCAAGAAAAATGCAAAACACAGACTCTTGAAGCTTGCTGCAACTCTCTCTCTCTTTCTCTCTCTCTCTCTCTCTCTCTCTCTCTCTCTCTCTCCCTCCCTCTTTCTCTTATTTGGTCTTTAGAGGAAGGGCTTCTCTGTAGCTTTGGAGCCTGTCCTGGAACTTACTCTATAGACCAAGCTGGCCTCAAGCTCACAGAGATCAGCCTGCCTCTGCCTCTGCCTCTGCCTCACCAGTGCTGGAATTAAAGGTGTGTGAAACCACCATCAGGCAGACAGGACTCTCTTAATCACATCCTGTAGACTATTAATGTCCCAATCATACATCCCATAAGTTGCCACCAATTTTGAAGCCTCTCCATAGCCTTCTATTCCATCCACACAGTATATATAATAACAAGGATGACCAAGAGAGCTAGTACTTATTCAGTGACCCCCCTCCATGGGATTTTTGTATCGGAAGAAGCAGTGTTTAAATAGCAGTGTCCTTCTCTAAGCCCGCCCTTGTTTAACCTTGAAAGACAGATTTGCAGTTCAGAAACAGATATCTGATATGGGAGGATAGAACAGAAAACACATTAGACCCCATGGCCTCCTCTTGCTCTTGGCAATTCCAGCTCAGCCAGTGACATATTCCTTGGCCCCAGAAGCTGGTTAAGGGACATTGTTTTAATGTCATGTTTTATAGTATTTAATAGAATACCATACTATTCCAGTATTCTGCTTGCTTTTGAAACTTGACATGCCAGAGATGGCAAAAGGATTTCAATACTAGAAGAATCACACAAACCAAATTATGTTTTCAGGACCAGAGAAGCCAGCAGAAGTCAAGGTCTTCTCTGAAGTAACCAGGCAAACTGAAGTTCCCTTAGCGGTAATATAGAGTTCACTCTCTCGGAAATTACACATTTCAGCTCCTACATTTTCACACATTGCTATTTTAACAAATACTACTGATGTTCTCAGCGTCTTTCCATTACTATCACTATATGGAACGGTCTTCTAAGTAATTGTTAAATTCTATAATCTTTCTGTTTAAAGCTGGGGGAGGGGCACACAATTATACCATGGGTTTATGTCTTCCCTCTTATCAGGGTTAAAATCTTTAGGTTTGGTAATACAGATTTCCCATTATCACTGGACTCCTTCCACAGGACAGGCGCAGGAGGGACCACAGAGTTCCAGGGTTCTACACAGCCAAGTATCCAGGTTACCATGACTGCCAGCAACAGAAAGCTAAGTTCCTACCTCGGTGACTGGTGAGTTCTCTGGATGCAGAAGGCAGGGGTGTGTACCGGAGGTGGCTCTCTGGAGAGGCAGCTTCAACTCCACTGGAAGCCTGTAAGATTAAAGCAAACTGTCACCATGGACAAACACCAAACACCACTTGTGCTTGTTTACTGAACACATTTCACTGGGATCTGAGTTTGGAAAGAATGGCCTTCCTCTACCTGTTGAGATAGAATTCTAGCAGAGTAGGATACAACATTTTGAGATTCTGTGAGATAAGAGGATTTGCTGTTGTTGTTGTCATTGTCATTGTTATGCAGAGCTGAAAGGAGAGGAGGAAAAAGAAGGGGGCTGAAGGCAGGAAGTGATGTAGACCAATTCTGTTCCAGGCATGCTCCCAGAAATTGGGGCAAAGGGAATGCTGGCTATAAGCAGACTCCTATGGCCACCACTGTGGGTGAGGCAGCATGGATGAGGGAGAGCAGAGCTGGCTTATGTGGACCTAGTGGCACAGAAGCTGAACAAAGTAAAATATGTAAGGTTCTGTATCTGGCCTGTGGACTAAATATAATACCAACCCTGGAGAAATCCCTCTGGAATTTGAAGTAGGAATACAAATTCAATACTTCATTATGGAATATTTCATACTTCACTGTTGAGAGTATGTGTGGATACATAACGGGGTATACTGAGGATGACAACCAAATCTGAACATGGCATTTGATGGGGAATGTACTGTGTATTTTTTATCTTATTGATTGTTAAATAAAGTTCTGTTTGGCCAATGAGACAGCAAGTTAGGCAGGACTAGGAGTCAAAGAGGATTCTGGGAAATGTAGTAGAGAAGTGGTGTTCCAGGCAGGAAATGACATAGCAAGGAGACTCATATTTAAGAAAGGAGAAACAGGAAGTATCCTCTTTCTCCTTCACCTCCTCCAGCGGCAGGGTGTGAGCCACCGGCAAGAGAGGGTGCCAGGGAAAGGCATCCTCTATAAGTCTTATAAAATATATAGATTTATGATAATTAAGACTGAGTTAACAGATGAGAAATCCTTGTCATTGGCCAAGCAGCTTTGTACCTAATATGTCTCTGTATTATTTTTGTCCATCCACGCGGTGGGCAGAACTCGGGTGGCTGGCAGAGACCACCCACATGGCCGTAGGGCTCGGACGGCTTTGGCAGAAAGATTTATTGTAACAGGCATTAATTTGTTTTCTATCCATCTCATACACAAGCCCCCAAGCATGCCCATATGATAGATTTAGTGTGCCTGCATTTTGTTCTAGGGGTCAGGAGAAGCTTGTGGCATCAGGTTAGGACTGAAAAGGTTTGGGTTTGTAGCTTGTTGGATTTTAGATTTTTAGAGTATGGATGTTTAGTATGTGTGATGGTTATCAATGAAACAGCATCAGCTGGAAGGAATCTGTAAGTAGGATTCCATGATGCAGCATCCATGAAGGCAACCTCTATGATGGAGGGCACTGATGTAGAAGGGGGGTAGGGGTGCTTTCCTATGTTTCTGTAAGTAACCCTTCACTAATGCTTTGTAAGGAAGCTCCATGTTCTTTCTGTTTGGAGAGAAAATCATTCCAATTCCAAAAAGGAAATGACATATAGGATGGTGGTTTCTCATTGTACCTCAGCAGATCTTTGATTGTAACAAATAACTGTGGCTTCTCATCCTGTGGGACACTGTGTAGAAGGCAGCTTGTGCCTATGTTTTTAACCCTTTCCTGAACTTTGTGTCCTTGTAGTCTAATCTGGAAGAAATTATGACCACTTTGCAGCTCACATGGAATGGTACCAATGACCAGTAAGTGCCCTGAAGAGCTTGGTTACTTTGACATAAAGTACTTTGACCATTCTACTTAACTGAGATTTCTAAATCAAATGCAACTTTTTTTTTTAATATCCAAAAAAGAACATCTGCTGGAAGTGAAATCCTAAGCTTTCAACCTTTCCGAAAGCTCTGTGAAAAAGTAAATTTCATTAATGCCTCGATTTTCTTTCCAGAAGAAGAAATCCATTCTAAGGGTGTGTTTACCCTGCTAGAAGCAGGCCTTCTCTGCTAAGAGATTACCTGCACTACGGGAGTCAGAGCTAAGCGGCAGATTAGACCTGCTTGCCATGAAAACCCTTTAAACTTCATTTCTGACATTTGAGGTGTTTGATTAAGCAGCTTTCAGGGCAGGCTTACAGAGAGAGGTCTGAACAGAGCAAAATTAGAAGCCCCGTCCTTTGGTGAGATCAGATTGGAGTGCTTGTCCACTCCAGCTAAAAGGCAAACATAATGAACATACAGGATGTTTAAAGCTTGGCCCAAGTGTATTGGAAACAGACAAATAAAAGTGCAGTCACAGAGGAAAGTGTTCTTCAAAGGCTTGCTACACTCCGCCTTACTGGACACAGCCTGCTGCAAGCATGTGGAGGAGACGGAAACTAAATTAAAACCCAAACCCTGCATTTGCTAGTTGTTTGGCCTGTGAGATCTACTGTGGCTGACATGGTACTTGAAACACAGCAATGGTGTTCTAAACATGGAGGCCTTTCAGGGCTTGCTGAAGGACAGATAAAGTGAAAGGATGGGACTGTCCAGCACACTCCTCCAAAGATACCCCAGACTTTCTTTTCAACAGTGCACCTCATCCTTAAAAATAAATAAGCGAAATGTGGAGTTGGCAATGCAATAGGAGGTTCAAGTCACTGTGCCATGGAATTTTTGAACTTGGATGTAGGCTGGTGATGATGTGATGAGCAGCTTTTCCTAAGAAAGAACTGGAAGACACACTACCTTCCAGCAAATACCTCTAAAGTCAGAGGTTCTGCAGCTAAGAGTAAATGAGGTTTAGTCTTGTTTCTAAGGTTTATTTGTAGCTGTCATTCAATGCCCAGCACTTAATTACTTTTCTGCTCATCATCCACTTTATGAGAGTAACTCAATTTGTGGGAAAGAATCCAGGAAAATAAGTTTTTTGCAAGCCATGCTTTTGTCCAGCTCAGTGTTTTGGGAGACTCTAGAAATCAGGATTCCAACTATCTGCTCTTCAGAATGGCTTCTATCAAGAGGAAAACCACTGGGGTTTTTCAATGTGATCCACACATGTGTTCTCAACATCTTATCCTCAGAAACACAATTTGTAAAAGCCAGGGAAGCAAATGAAGAAACAGACAAGAGAATTCCTTCCCTTTGCACTCTACCTGCCAAAGGATATAGAACTCACCTTGTACTTGAGGCAGCACACACATAGCAGCTTGAGTAAGAAATAATAGAGGCGTAAGTAGGAAACATTTACATAATGTTTTCCTTTATGTGTATTTAGAAGAAATGCCTATGGTAAGAGTAAGGAAATCTGAACAAGTCTGAATCTCCAGGACCATAAAGATTCTCCAACCTTTGATTCTTTGCCAGTTTTCCTAAGTGCCGATGGCAGAGATTTGTAGCTTCACATTTTACTTTTATCTCCTGTTAGAGGATATTTGCCATGTCTACAATAAAATGCCAGTATTCAAGATACATAAAAAAAATGTCCTCCAGTCAACAAAAATGCATACTAAAAGACAACAGGCAAAGGAAATGCCAGAAGTTTCAGAGAAGAGGAGACCCCAACAGCCAATAATCAATAATTGAGAGAGAATTTGATCAAGTTTGCTAAAGGGCATGAGAGCTAAAATAAGAAGGATTCGGCCAGCCATTGTATCTCCAGACTTCATTTCCTCATGCTGGAGCACACAGAGGAACATGAAGGTTCTCTCCTCCCTACCAAGGGGAATGTGTTGTTGGTTCAAGTGACTTGGAGAGGTAGAGAAGAGTCCTACAAATGACACCTGGAGTTTACTACTATCTCCACATGTGTACATTTGTATACACACACAAACACACTATAAAATTCATAAACTAGAGAAAACTTCACACGCACACATCTGGAAGTAGAAACATGAGACAACTTTTATTGCTGCATTATTTCTAACAAAAAAGTTGAGCCCAGTGGCATTGGTGGTGCACGCCTTTAATCCCAGCACTTGGGAGGCAGAGACAAGCAGATCTCTGTGAGTTTGAGGGCAGCCTGGTCTACAGATAGACTGCCAGGATAGGCTCCAAAACTACACAGAGAAACCCGGTTGTGAAAAACCGGAAAAAAAAAAATCAAGTTGAAATAACTTAAGTAACTGTCAATGAGAAAAGTCAATGGAATAGTATATATTTGTGTGAAAGACTAACAGTGTTTAAGAGCAATAAGCCTGATTTAAATATCTCAACTCAGATAACTAAAAGTTTCTATGGAGTGAGAATGCAAGTTGGCCAAATGATAGATGTTGTATGGTTTTACCTATATATGTATGTGACCGCTTGATTTCCTGTATTTGCAAAAATCTAAAAATTAGAGCAGATATATACAAAAGTTATGAAATTTCTTGCCTCTGCCAAGGGGTATAGTAATTAGACTGGAGTTAATAAAGTTGGTGTGGTGGTTATTTCTGTTGATCAAAGAATAGGTTAGGCACAGATATATCAAAATGTTAGAAATGACAGATATTAAATGTTGGCTATCTGTGCCCTTAATGTTAAACTTTTACACACTTTTGAAATTTTCAAAAATTAAACCTGAAAACTAACAATACAAAACCTCCATTTCTAGTCCTCACAATCTTCTATTGATATCAACCCTAAGTAATTTTCTAGTTCTTATAAAATGTAGATTAATGCCATCTCTGGTTGTATTTGTGACAAAACATAATGAATTTGTATTTCTCATAAAGCAACTGAATGTGACCCATAGAATGGACAAAAAAAAAGAAAAAATCAGATAACGACAAAACTGTTTCCCAGATTCCAAGACTTAAGGTATTTGCCCCAGCCTTGCATGAAACTTGCTGATGATCTGCCAATGCACAGGGAGAGTCCCTTGGTTATTCACCCATTCAAAATTGAAGAATCACTAACAACATTTTAAAAATCATATCAGTAAACTGGGCAGTGGTGGCACATGCCTTTAAACCTAACACTTGGGAGGCAGAGGCAGGTGGATCTCTGTGAGCTTGAGACCAGCCTGGTCTACAAGAACGAGTTCCAGGACAGCCTCCAAAGATCTTCCAGGACAGCCTCCAAA